CCATGTGACCGCGCGCTTGCGCAGCCACACTTGCGTTCACGCGCGCGCGCTCGCCCGCTATCGCACGCGCTTGCCCAACCTCAGTTCTGGCGCGGGGCTGAAGCGCGAAGCACGCCAGCAACACGCGTGCAGCAACGCAACGCTGCCAGGCTCACGACTGCATCATTTTGTTTCATCCGTGTTGAAGCGCAGAAAGCCACAAGCTGTTGGCATGTTTGTGCTTGTTTGGGGTCGTTCTATTCTAGTTGGGTAAGACAACGCAGAAGCATTTCGCTATCAAGAGGTGTTGGAGGAAAACCAAGTTTTTTTCTCGGACGCAGTGATGGAAAAACCCACGCAGCAGGATTGGCGCTCCCACACATCAATGCTAACCCCCCCCCCGAGCGAAGCCGCATCCTTGTTTTTGCTTGATGTTGTTGATGTTGTTGGTTGATGTTGGTTGTTGTTGTTGTGGTTGTGGTTGTGGTTGTGGTTGTGGTTATTGTTGTGGTTGTGGTTGTGGTTGTTGTTGTTGTTGGTGGTGGTGGTGGTGTTGGGCCTTTCCAATGCTTGGCTTAGCTGTGTTGGGGGGCTCTGCTGTCGTGATTCCCGTGAAGGGATCCGAGCGCAGCTTGGAACTCGTTGGATTCCTTTGGCATGGGTGGCTTGCCACAGCACCCCATGCATACGAGTGCCGCGTGCCATTGAGCCGGCTGCATTTCCAGAGCATCGGACCATCATCATCTCAAGCAAGGACCCAAATCCAGCTTGGAACCGTTTGGGTCCGCATGATTCGTCGGTGCAATCCTTTGGTGTGGCCAGCTTGCCGCAGCACCCTGCATATGCGAGCATGCCATTGCACCGGCTGCATCGTACAGCATCCGGTTCTGGCTGAGACAAGCCTGCTAGCTCGTTTGCTTTTCCATGTGTTTTTGTGTATGTGTGTGTATGTGCGCGTGTGTTGCAAACTTGGCGACCGATGACAAGACCTTTTCCGAGCGTGTGTGTTATATCATGCTTCTCACGTGTCAGCAAGCGAGCCTTCGAGGAGGAAAAGAAACGCAGCCGGGACTTGCAGAGCTTGGAGTTGAGATTTGGCCGGCAGGAGACAGGGCTCGGATTTGGGACGAAAGGGGCAGGAACGTTGCCTTGAGGGGCAGTAATGACCGCTTTTGTTTGATCAAGCGGCGTCGGAATGTGGGCTGTGACTTCAGGGAGGGCGTAAAAAGTCAGGGAGTGGCAACGCATGGTAATGCACGCCGGAAGCACCCTCAGGCTGTTGTGGCTGCAGCAGGTGGTGTGTGAGGGGACAAGGCATGTGTTTCGTAGTGGCCCCGAAAGAGATGTGCAAGTGCCTTGCATGGACCATGAGCCGTGCTCGAGGGGTTCCCGCACGCAGCAATCAGAGTGCATATTTGCCCCACACGTAAAGGAGCACCCAACCCAAAAGAAGTTGTCGGCGAGGACAATGCTGGAGCACGGGTGTTTGTGCGGCGCTTGGCATTGCGGCATCGTTGGCCTTGTGTCTAGAGAACAGAACTGATACTGTGGTGAGTGTAACACCACGGCCAAGCGAGAATCAGGGGGTGTTGGACGGGTGTTTGTCTCTGTATACCCCTTCAAACCCCCAAGATTATTTGGTTCCCAGCAGGCAGGCTAGTTGCTTGAGGCAGAGCAACCTCGTCCAGCCACCACTGCTAATGCTGGGCCAGGCTGGTAAGGGCCATGTGCAGGAGCACTGGTCATGATTTTTACGGAGCATGGCAAACAAAGTAAATATCGCTGTCCTGTTGGGGATGTAAAGCCACCACCTGAACGTATCGGAAGCATTGGCCCGATCGATGCGGGAGCTCACTTCAAACCAACCGAACAGACCATCAGTTCCCGCAGCTGGAGCCATGCAGATTGATTGCGCACGTCAGGCGGCACGTCATTGGTGAGGATGACTGCCGTACCAAGTGTTCCCTGTTCTGAAAACGTCTCGAGCTCCGGCTTCCATGAATCACAAATTAGAGGCTGAGATAGGCTTGTTGCTTGCACCTTCGCGAACTCGATCTTCGCGACATGTTGGCGGTGCTTCCGCCAGGCGTCGTTGCTGTCAGTGACCGTCGCGCACAAACCATCACAACAATGCGGCCTGGGTTCAAGCTGCTCGGTACATATGTGCCATCTTTGGCTTTGGCTCGAGGGTTGGTAAAGGTATAGTTGGGAGCGTTTGCGGCCCTGTGAAGTCAAGGGCGAGTGCCCTGGCCTGAAAATTGTATCCCTGCAAGTGGCAACACGCACGGCGGATGGCTTGCAGCGTAAAGCTTGCGCTTTTCTGTCAGCACGTGGCGTGTGCTAACATCCCATTTGCGTGCTGCAACGGTTTGGCGCCTTGGCCCAGGCCTCCAAGCTTCTCAGCCTGAAGCCTGGCAGCCTGATACTGTTTCATTCTTACGGATGCTTGGGAGACGATGTCTTTTTCTTGGATGGCTCTCGTGCAGGATACCAATTCGTGTTATGCTCAAATTTGAGCCCCAGCAATTCTTTCCAGAACGCGCAGCAAAACATGGATCCGCAACTGGACAGTTTGTTGGATGACAAGTTTGTTCTTGCTTCATTGCACGGGGGCATGCCGGCTCGGCCTGGATTTGGACTGTCCGCACATCACCCCTGTCACGCTTGGGGACTGTGGCAAACTGTCGCAGCTCCTGCGGAGGGAGACGGGTGCCTTGGGCCGGCTGTAACAGGGCCCTGGCTTTGCCAGAAGAGCCCCAGCCCACTACAACTGGTCAACCCCAAAAAGGATACCCTGTTTTACAGCAAGGGGCAAACTGGGGAGGCGTGAGTCGATTCAGTGCAGCATGAAAAATGCGAGGGTTTGCGAGCAACTTTGAGTCACTGAAGCCATTTGCCATCTCCAAAGGTTAGCCCGAAGACTGGATTGACCGTGTGATGTCTGCGGCCGTTGGTTCAAACTAGGCTTGTGGCGAGGGTGGGTTTCTCACACATCTCCCGCTTGCAAGCAACAGTGCAGCAGGTTTCCAAGCTTTGGTTTCCTCACTGACGGGTTTTCAACCTTCTTGTACCCATCACTTTGGATGCCCTACTCCAGTGCATCGAGCTTAGGTGTGTCATTCAAGAGGTGGGGCTTTGGCAAATTGCCCAGCTGTTGTGGCCATGTATCCGGGCAATGTGCGTCCTGCTATGCAGGGAGAGCCGCTTCGAGCAACTGAAGGGCACACCCCCCAATTCAACACTTGTGGGAGGGTTGCCTAGGAGGCTCCAGGAGAGAGGGAGAGAGGTAACGCAGGCTTGATTCTGATTCTCCTTTGCTGCAGGCGCAGTAGCATTGTGCAAGATTCGCAGCATGAAAGGCTTGCGCCATGTCCTGATTGCTGTAGCACTAGTTTGGTCAAACGGTGAGGCCAATCCAATCCTCAGTTGGCAGCGCACGTCGACGCCACGTGCACAAGAGTTAGCCTTGGATTGCAAGGCCACGTGTCATCCAGATGCAAGTTGGTCATGGTGGCTTTCATCGCTACCCTTCCAGGCAGCGATTGCAGCATGCCATGCCCTTGCCCAGTCGTACCACGCGACCTTGTTCTTTTTGAGTAGCCAGCTGGTCTTTTGGCCCGTCTGACGCATGTGAGCTTTGCGCTACATGACTCTTTCTTGCAGGCCGCAAGGTGGGCGGCCCATGGCTCACGCCAGTTCTGCGCCCACCACGCGTGTCACCTCGCCCAATGGCCCTGTGGGAGCTTGGGAAGGCGCCAGGGGCCACGCGATGCACGGAACATCATCAAGAGAAGCAGCAAGATAATGATACAGAAAACCCCCGTGCAGCATTTAAATTGTCAATCTTCATTTGCATATTTCTATGTACAAAGATGGGACAGGGTACCTCCGCGAAAGACTCGCGATGGTATGTAACTTGTTTTTCAGCCTTGCGTAAACGGTATTGTAGAAGGCATTGACCTGTGACAGCAGTGTGTGTTTTCTGTAAAGTCCTTCTTCGAAGCGCTTTTTTCCAGTTAGGGGAAAGCCTGCTGAGGTTACATTTATATACCTTGCTTGGCGGGTCAGCCGGAACTGCAGAGGTGCATTCTATGTACTAGCTTGGTACTGAAAAGCAACTTTCCAGGCGGAGCTTTGAAAGTGCTTTCCGTGCGCTAGCTTACAAGTTGCGACTTTCCTGCCGGGGCTGCGGAAGTGTGTTTTGTGAACGAACTTGGTACTGAAAGTTGCGACTCCAGCCGGAGCGGTGGAAACGCGTTTCGTGCGCTCCCAGAGCAATGGAAGTGGATTTTGCGTACTAGCTTGGTACTGAAAATCTGTGACCGTCTGACTCTTGCTATAAAAGTGCAAGAATTGTCGAATGGAGATTGCACCCCGAATGTGTGCTGGCAATCCTATTCGTCTCTTCCAACTGGACTGAAAGGCCACTGAAAGGCACTATCAGCAACAGGCTCTTTTCCCCTGTTGCAAACTGGTGTGACTCAGGAACTGCAAACTCGAAGAAGGGCCTTGGGCCAAAAAGTTTAAACATGTAATGGATGTGATTGTTGGGAAGCCATGTATCATGCAAAAGCAGAGCAAAAACAGACACACATTTCTTGTGACCCCAAGCGTTGACCAGCTCAACTCACTTGTCATATCCATGCTGACAAGTCCGCGAACACAAGTCCAAATCGAAATGTTCGATCGAGGGGATTTGGTCGGTTGGTCGATTTTGCTTGTTCTCCTTGGGCTCCTTGTTCTGCTTCTTGATGTTTACTGCGAGAGGAAGGCGTCCGTCAGAATCGTATCGTCCTTTCATAAGCTGACAGTTTGGCGCATGCAATCGCATACCTGCATTGACCAGAAGTGCAAAACGCGCCGCCATCGGTCCAAAGTGGTACCCTTGAGCAGCCTCCATTTTCTGCAGCGCGCCCTGGCGCTTGATGGAAAAGGTGCGATCCTCGCCGTTGCGGCTTCGGGATTCGCACCCATAAGATAAGCAATTCGTTGTTCAACTGCTTGATGCGGTTTTACGATGTCACCCCGTAAGCCATTTTCGAAGTCGCGGCGCTGTCATCGTGCCCAGATCTTTATTGTATGACGATCCTTTCTTTGCAAAGAGCCTGTGGCCACGCGCTGGAAAGTTCCCAGCGGTTGCCAATGATTTGAAATATCAACTCACACCGCTGGTGTCCAACTTCTCTTCCATCAAGAAGGAGACACATCATCCAAAAGTCGGGCTTCTGAACACGCTCATGGAAGATATCAGTTTCAGGTTTAATGACTACGTCATAGGATTGACGCCAGTGTCGACTCCACAGGCACTCTTAAGGATATGACACGGCAACTGATGAACATGTTTCTCATCGTAGTTGAAGGTGTCTTGCGGATCTGCCAATGTCGCTCTTCTCTGGAACTGGCGACGATCTTGTTGTGGCTTCCAAAAAACGCAATCTGCGAACCTGCTGCATGCTGATCTTCTTGTAGTCTCTTGTCTTCATGAACTTTCCAGTGGCTGCAAGGCAATCATGTCTGGGTCTTGCGTATAAACATCTGAAAATGGCCATGGTTGTGCCCGAGGGCTGTTCTTTCGATGGTATGTCTTCACCTCGGCTTGTCTTACCTCCTCCCACGAGACATCCGTTTGGATTCTGCCGTGCGCTTCATGGAGGCGAAGAACGTGAGCAGAAGTGAAGAAGATTGTGCACGTGGGACGATCTGCCATCGGAGTAGCCTTGCGCGGGCTGTCGTTTGCCCTTGGAGGTCGTGTGAGTTCCCCAGTTCGCCGTAAGAGCGTTAAGATTCTGAGTATCGCATTTCGGCTCGGCGGATGGCAGGAGAAGAGAGTTGCAGATCTGGATGCAAGACGTGATCTTTTTGATGTCGTCAATGCCTTGAAAGCTGTCTCTGATTCAGTTCTGGTTCTTGAGGAATCATCTCCGTAGTAGAAGCCTTCTGGAGAGTAGCTCTTTTTCGGATCCAGGTTCAATAGGATTGAAAGCGTTCAGTCTTGTTCCTCCACCGCTCGATTTTTGTGACGATGAAGAGCTCGTGACACTGCGTCTTCAACATCTCACAGCCGTAGTTTGCAAGTGAAGGTTTCTCAATGACATTGCGCTGAACAATCTCGCTCGTTGTTGGTCTTTTTGCTCGCTCTGGAGCTGAAGAATTGAAGATCCTGCTGTAAGAGTGAACTATTTCAAGAACACGCTCGGAACGAGCGTGCATCTTTCCAGACTTCTCAGTTTCTTCAACCGCCGCAGAAACAACTCCCTCACATTTATGTCCAAGCTTAAGATTTTGCTTCGGAGACCTCAAGGCAGCATGGAAGGATTTGACGCCAGCGTTACGGCATCATCGCCACAGTTTCTCCAAGCAGTGCAAGACGCGAGTGCGAGGATTCAGGCACAGCCGCAGCCATCCGCTGCAGCCAGAGCACCACCTAACGCCCACGCGGATCTGCATGATCTTGAAACACTTTGGCAGTCTGCAGGGAGAGTGCAAACAAGACACCAAGACGCGATTCCATTCAGTGACAACCCGGCGTGTCCTATCTGTCTGCCGCTTGCGGCATAGGGTTCCAAGAAAACTTTGCCATCTGATGACATCTTCCTTTTCAGAAAAACCTGCATCGCTACCACAACAGTGGACCGGTGAGCAGGACCCACAGTAGTAGACGGTACACTTGGTTCGCTGGATCCATTCCGAAGTGTAAAGGGGATTCTCAAATGGAGATTGAGGAACCTGGAAGATGTGATTGTGGGGAGGTTAACAGGTCAATTGTCATACAAGACCCCCGCCAGGCAGCCCCAACCACTTCAAGCCCCGCGCCGGCGACCGCTCACCGTCTGGCACTTGGGGGGAGATGCTGAGGGCGGGGCCGGATTGGCGCATCGATCCACCCTCATCATCGGCGTTTTCTGGCTCATCTGCTTTCGTCTTTCCGTTTCTTGACGCAGTGGGCGCGAGGGCCATGCCAATTGCCGCTCCCTGCTTTCAAGCATCAACTGTCGGGCCACCGTTCATCTTCCAGGATCTTGCAGAGGCCCACGCCACGGGACAGCCAAGCATGTCGCCCAGGCTGTCAGTCTCCGGCTCTCACGCGCCTCAGCAGCACCTGAAGCTTTGTGGGTGATGAAGGCTGGTAACCATCATCAAGGGGTCATGTATTGGGTTCCTTGCAGCTGAGCACAGGCTTACCGGCAGTCCTGCATTTAAAGGATGCGTCGCAAGCTGCAAGTTAGGGGCTCTACATGGATCAGAGATTCCAAACGCCCCGTGCTCCCAAAATTGAGTTGCAGGATCCCATTTGGCTGTGGAAGCAAATATTTGCTGGTTTGGTGGCCTGGCCTGAGGTCGCTCCTCCTCCGGCTGGCCAAGTTCCGACAGGGCCCCAAGTTCCTACAGGCCCTTCGCCACCGGGTGCCGCACGCTCATCCTCTCCTGGAACGCAAAGGCCTCGAGGCCTGGGGCCACGACCTGGCGCCGTTTCGCTCAAAACATATGTCCCTCCAGCGGAGGCCCATTCCGTGATCTTAAGGCACATGTGCACCACGTACAGGCGTGTGAACATACAGCATCCACGTGCATGCATGCGCATTCATTTGTGCATATCGTGCAAGAAGATGCGGGGCCCGAGAAGTTGCCATGTTTCAGGTTCATGCGCTGGTCCAGCTCAGCGAGGGGATCGCTTGGGTGTGGTGGAGGAGGATGTTCAGGTGAGCAGACTGCATTGATTTGGGCTTGTCTGTCAACAGGAACCTATTTTTTGACACAACAAGTAGACAACTGGTTGACAAAGAGTAGGTTGGAGAAGGTGTATATACATATGATCATATTGTCCGTTGCTCATTTGTAGGCTCTGACCCGGCCACCATCCCAAAAAAGACCCACACCCCAATTGGCCAGCAGTCTAGATGGGCATGCTCAGCGCCGTTCATGGCTGCCAGCAAAGCCAGAGAGCACTTGCAAAGCACCCGGGGTGGTTCCGGGTGAGGGGTTCGCTGTTGAAACAACCCACGCTTCGTGCAGGGCTCTCCGAGCCCACGAGGCTCGGTACGGGTGAGCCGAGGGAATTGCTCATTTGGAGCCGTTTGGATGCAAGTTCCTGGGGTGATGCTTGAGTCACTGCGACTGGCAGGCCCTGTGCAAGGCGCTTCCGTTGCTGCACCAGCGCAGGCCAGGTCTCTGGGTCTGACGCGAGTCGCGTGCTATGAGCATTTGACTTTGGGGCTGGAATTTGCTTGGGCTCAGGTATTGGTCTAAGGCCTTTGCTGCCTAATCACTTTATCCTTTTTTGGTGCTTATATTGCCACTCTGTTCTCTTTCTTAATTTCCAGCTCTCCTCGAGCCTCGTCCACGTTCTTCTTTTGCGCTTGTCTGCCCACCTCCTTTTTGACATTTCTCCATGCTTCGTCCGGTTCAACCCTCTTTGCCGCACCTCTCCGGCTTTGTCCCCCTGCGTCCTCCTGCCGCGCGTTGAGCGAGCAAGGTTTAACAGGAGGCCAAACCAGAGACCAAAACAAGACATAAGGGGGTCCCCAAACAAAAAGACACAGACGAAAGGAGAGATCGGGCCACCTGTTCGCCGAGACAACATACAAACGCCCCTCCTACCAGAAGCGCAAGCAGACCAAGTGTTGCGGGTAGGCAATTCAATTGCCAAGTGCAAACGGATGCACCAAGTCGGCGGTGGCAGGGGGCCCAACGGTCAAGAAGAAAATATATATATATATATATTATATATATATATATATATCAAGCCAGCAGGATTTTGCCTAGCTCTGCGCGGTTTATGGTTTGCCTGCCTGTCACGCTGGATGTAGCTTCAAAATCCCGCAAAGGCCTGGCTTTGTTAGTTCCAAGCAGGTCATGAATTACGTCATGTGCAGCAGCTGCCGTCCACGTAGAATATACGGCATCGGTTTGTGGAGACAGGGTCTGGGAAGTGTGTGTCTCCCCTCTCGTCTTCTTGTGTCTCCTCGCCGTGCTTTAATTGGCATGCTTCCACTACCTAGCAAACACATGTTCCGCGCTCCAACTTGGCAGCTTTGAATTATGAACCGCCTCTCTTGGCCTATTTTGCGGCTTGCATTGAGGACCATCAACATGGTAGACAACGCGCTCTGTTACACTGCATCCCATGCGAGTCCTGCTTGCTTTGCTCATTGGCCGCGTATGTGCGTCCTTTTGCAGTGCTCGTGCAGATGTGCTTGGCAGCCGCTCATTTGTCCATCTCTTCAGCTCTGCAGGTGCGGGTCCCGAATGCGATTGCCAGAAGCCCATCGGTCCAGAATCGAGGCCCGCGGGAAAACCGGCTTTTTCTTTCGTGGAGTTCACCTTGGGCACCCCCTGAGAACGAAAGGCCATTGTACTGACCATTTCATGCACGGCTCCGTGGTTGAGGGCAAGCCCAGGTGAGCTGCGCTCTTTTTCATCGGCTTATGTTCTTTCAAGTTGTCGCCTCCCCACCTTCAAGCCCCCGTATGATCATGAGATTGGGCCCCGCCTTCGGAAGCCACGCAGCCAGAGACGGCCGGAGAATCGTTCAAAGTGACATCATTATGCATAATCCCACCGCAACACCTCGTGATTTGGCCCTGCTCACCACCTTGCTTCTTGGGAGCGAATTTGTTTCAGCAACAAGCGGGGAGAAATTGTTTTCTGCATTTTGCAGGCTTTCAGGATTGACAGTTTGCTTTTGTTGCCCGAGTGCCGGCTTCATGAGGTGGATTGTCTACAAGCATTTTTCTGAAAATTACGTTCCAACGTTAAAGTAGCAGTGCCTTCAGGAGCAGACAAGGCATTTGCTGGCACTGCTGTTTTGTGTTCAGCATTGCCGCATTCGTGGCAAGTTCGGATCATTGCTTCCCCCATGTCTGCCATCTACTCTAGGTTCCAGCGGCACACCTGGAGCTGGCGTCACTCGCGAGGCGAGTGGGCAGATGCCTAGCTCGGCCGGGGACCGCAGGTGACCTTGAAAGTGCCGCATTACATTTTGCTCAACAAAATGTCTTGTGTAAGGTTATCCAGTGGGCTTGTGGCTGCGTTTCAGGCGATTCCCATGTGCTGTTTCAGGTACTCACGTGCGGTTGTGTTGCTATGCGCTTTCTGTAAGTTTGATGTAAATGAGTGAATGTATCGTGCTCAGGCAAGGGCGAGTCAAACACTGCCAAACAATGAGAAACTACGCTTTCCCGAACCAATCAGTGCTGCCAAGTTTAGAGTTTGCATGTTTTAGATGTAGCGGTTCGTTTGTTTGTCCTTCATCATCCTGTTTCCAGACCAGTTGATTTGCTGATGCCGAGGCCCGTCAAAGTGTGAAGGAGCCGAAACGGTCGATCAGCGCAGCCAGTCAGGCTCTCAAAGCTCGCCTCGAAAGTTAGGCTTTGCTCAAAGTCAAGTCATTCAGGAAAAGCTGGATTTGTTCATTTGCCTCAGAGAGAGAGAGAGAGAGAGAGAGAGAGAGCGATTTTTTGTGACTTAAGTTTATATGCTCCATGGGTGGCCATGCCGCGGAGCATTTGGCAAAGCGTTCGGGTGCTGCTGGTTCATTTCGATTCCGCCAGCCCATGTCGGCATGAGCGGCCTGTTCTTGCAAGGCCAGGCGCATGAGCCATGCTCCGCAGAACTTTTTGCTCAAGACGCAGGTCATTCAGCCCCCCGGCCATGAGAGCAATGGCACTCTTGAGGCGCCCGGTGCTCCGGGCGGCCGGGCTCCAAAATGCTCGACGACTTCAGGAGCATTTCATGATTTTGATACTTGCAGTGTGTCGCCTTGCTTGGCTTTGCCTTGTCAACGGCCATCATATCACTCATAGGCAAGTGTATCCTGTGGCTTGCAAGCCCACCCTAACAAATTAAATGTGGCCCGCGCCAAAACCCAGGCCAATGGCAAATTGGGCTAGGTTGAAAGTTTCTCTATTGCAAGGTTGTTGCAGAGTGACCCGGCAGGAAACTGGCAGGAGGTACCAAGTTACCAGAAGGTGCAAGGGTTGAGGCCTGGCTTTTCACGGCTACAGCGCCCAGGAGCTTCCACTTAGTCGGGCCTTCTGCGCCGGCAAGCCCGGCGATTCCGAATCAGACCGGCGCTACGAGGAGACCGGGGAGTACGACACGCAGGACGGCGAGTGCTCCGTAAGGCGTTTGTTTCACTTGGCGCTTGTTTTAACCGAGGTTGGCATGCTTGATGACTTGATGAGATTTCAACGCCAGGAGAAGTACAAACGGGTCGGCAACCCAATCTCGTGGGCCAACCCCACGGGTGGCGGCACTGTGGAGGACAGGCGGATCTTCAAGGGTGCGGGAGGGGATCAAGTCACCCAAGCAAATCGAGTGTGGCTGGCTTACGGCTGCCTCGGAAGAACCAGCCAAGGAATGCCCATATAATCATATATGTGCATTTTGCATCTTTTCACAATGTCCTAGTGACATTTTGCTGTGGTCCGACATGCGTTACGGCGCTGTGCACTCCGCGCAGCACAGCCACTGTGGGATGGCGTCAAAGGTTTCGCCAACCCCAAGTTGCCACTCATGCCAGTCCCTCTTTGCTTCGCAGCGTGGTTGAATGCAGCCTTGGGATTTCAAGTGTGCAAGCTCCAGACTCCGGGAGGATAATTCCAGCAAACATTGGACCTGGGTCTTCCCTGCTGGTGGGGCATTCATCCTGTTCCTCTGCCTGCTCAGCCGCTGGCGGTCCATGCGCAAGGAGAAGGAGGAGCAGGCAGGATTTGCAAGATCAAAATAGGGGGCAGGCAGGATTTGCAATTGGATGGGTTGGACAAGACTTTGGTTGAAAGCTGAAAGGACAATTGCCGAACACTGCGGAGGGAGACTGGGTACCACGCCTTAGAATCCGAATCGCCTGCCCGAGGTGATAGAGGCGCCCCGGATTAGTATGCCGGACACGGGGAGGTTCTCATACAAGGCTCCCTCTGCGGAGCCAGTCACACAGGAAGATCTGCACGCTGAGGCGGGCAACCACGTTGGGCTTGTCTCAGTAACCCAACAAACGATACCCTCGAACACGTCTCGCCCGCTTTTTTGCTTGGCTGCTTGTAGTCCCGCGCTGAAAATGGACTTTGCCTGGCTTTGCCTATTCAAGGGCAGACGTTGTCCTTCGAAGTGGTCAGATTTCTTTTGGCTCTCCAACTGTGAGTTTGTAGCCTTGTGGGCCTTGTGGCAAGTGAGGAGACCAAGCAAGCTGGAGACTCGCTCTCGTCGGGGTATGGTTCCAGTTTGTCTGGCTTTTCAGCACCTCCTCCCAGCAGATGAAGTTGTGACGCAAAATGTCTCACCTGGCCTCTGGGGCCATATAATAGGGTGCAGGTGTGAGTTTTGCAATTGGCAGCGTTTCATGGTTGAGTACTTGCTGTGTGGTCATGTTGCCTGGATTTTGTGCTCCATTGAAGTAAGCGTGCCAACCTTCCAGAAGCACCTCCCCAATCCGCTTTCGGACTCTGGGGGGCAGAGGTGCCCCGACGGGGTTGCAGCGCGAATGCGAGACCCGCCCGTAGAGTCCAAGAGCCAGATTTGGATGCACAGCTTGTGAGCAGCTGGTGGAAAAGTTGTTATGTGATGCCAGCATGCTTAAAGACAAGTTCCCAACCTTATGTTCGGCACCCTGCTCGCTCCAAGGTGCCGGGGGCTCCCAGCTTTTGAGCACCAGCCAGGGCAGTGGCAGTGAAAGCAGCTCCATGGTGAGCAGCACCTGGGCGGCTCGGCCGAAGGGGCCCCCGGGCCCTGTGTCGGAGTTCCTTGGGGCCGCCCTTGTATCCGAGGGTGTAGGTCTGTAAGTTGGTTGAGATTTTTCGCATTGTGACCCTGTGACATGTAAAGAGTAGTCGGGGGGAGTCGCCACGGGATCGCGGGATTGTGTGGAAATCGAGCTTCTGTGGCTAGGATGTGACTTCAATGAGTGCTTCCCCAAATTTGATGAACCATGGGACCCCCACACGTTCCCAAGCGAGCGCTCATATTTTAGAAGGCCTGCAAGTGGAAGGGATAAGATGCTATTGGCCAGTTGGTCGCAAGAGAGTGACTGCAGAACTGCAGTTTGCCCGGGATTGTGACCATATCATTCGCCTTCTCTCCTGTGTGCTTTGCTAGGATCTGTCGATCTGCTAGGCATGTTGCGCGTGCTTGCTTGCCAAGGTGATCGAAACTCTCAAGAAGTCCTTGCGTGAGGGCACTGGTCCAAGGCGGGGAGTCATTTTTGCATGGGTTGCCTCCAGCCAAGTGTCCCATCTAGAGAGAGGTCATAAATAGCTTTGCAGGAAGTGGTAGGCCGTCACCTCTGCTTTCGGAGAAGTGGATCTGCTTCACAATCGACTCCGAGGCACTCTGTGACGGGCCCTTCGATGCCCGTGGGGGACCAGGAGTTGCGCCTTCTGCGACAGGAGATCAGGCGGGGAGACATTGGATCCTGAGATAGCCGGGTATGGAGAGAGGAAAGGGCTTCCTCTCAATGTCGAGATGACGTTTGCCATGGGCTGGGAACGGTATGCGGAGTGAACGGATGCTGTTCCCAGTCCTGGTTCCTCGACATGCGGATGGTTTCAAAGCTGCAGTGTGCTTGATTTGAAGAGGGGTGCAGGATTTCACCGGCACAGCGCTTGGGATGGCCCACTGAAGTTGAGAGAAGAGTTGAGGTTGGCCCTCAGGATGGAAACGGAAGCACGCAAGCAAATGGGGGTGCAAATCGACACCTTGCTCCAAGAGCCTTGGCTGCATCCGGCTGTGTGCAACAACTGCGGGACTATTTGCAGTCATACCGATCTTGAGCTGTGGGCCTTGCGAGCTCGGGTGTCCTGCAAGCTCTTGGCTATTGCCGAGGAAGAAAAGAAGAAGAGAGATGAGGCGGACTGAGCTGTCAATTGCCCTTGGATCCGCTTGACACAGCAGATTGCCGTTGGAGCATGTAACTGTGCACCCTGCTGTGGCTTTCTTCTTTTCCTTCAGGGGCACCTGCGATCCAGTCTGAGAATTCATGTTTGCCCAGCTATTGACACCGGTCAAAGTCTCAACATGGAGGAGGTCCGAAATTGGTGTTTTTTGTTTCTTTGGTTTCCCTTTGAAGCTTCCTTGCCAAAATGGCACTCTCAAAAAGAGACCCCCATGTGCCTCCTTCAATGCCTGATAGGCATTGCGGCAGCAGCAGCAACAGACGGAGCAATCGGAAGCTCGACTGGAGCAGCGGTGGCACACCAACCTGAAGGAGGAATCGGTGCCTTGGCAGACTGCTAAGGCTAGGAAACAATGAGCACAAGAGAGGCAAGCCGTGGCAAATACTGTCAATCATTGTGCTCTTGAAAGAGGTGTTCATGAATACTTAGCCTTCCTAGCCGAGCAATCAGAAGCTTGGACGAGCAGCATCATGATCTATCATCTATCCTGCCTGTTTGTTCCACTTTTGTACAAGCAGCTGAGATTTGATGCTTTGTTTTCTGATCTTCTGCTGCTAGGCCGCTAGGAGTTGTGAGAGGCGTGAGAGGCTGGCGCGAAGAAATTGGCAGCGCCATGGCTCCAGGCGCTGCGCCGAGCGGTGGAGAGCCACCTCGAGGCTAGGCTGGTGGCCATGCAGCGAGAAGTGCGCCTGGAAGTGGGCCCGGGACCTACTGAGCAGATCAGAGGGGTCACGGGCTGGTGGGGGGGGGGGTGTGGGTGGGTGGGAGAAAGTGGCATGTGCAGAAAGAAGCGCTATAGACGCGCATGTCATATTCAGATTTTGGCAGCGCTGTCAACCTTGGTCAATTTGGAGCTGTACCAGAGTGAGTCTCAGCCTAGGCTCTGCCGCTACTCAAACACAGCAGGTCCTCAGCGAGTTCGGGCATTTCCGCTTCCTGGCAAAGCTTTTAGGAATTGCAAGAGTATAGCAGCCTTGAGTGGTATTCACATAAGGTCATTAAATTTTGCTAGGGCACTGCGTTGCTAGCTGGCGGGTAGGCCTGCTACTGAGTGTATTCGCAACTTTGGTCACACCTACCACCAAGAAAAGGGTGACTTTGTAGGTTTGTGGCTAAAGGGGTCTGGCCAGCTAGGTGACAGCATCCGGAAAGAGCTGGACATGCAGAAGCTGGAAATCAGCAGCGCCAGTGCTGACCTGTCCAGGCCTACCGCTGCTTTTGATGTTGAATCATGGAGTAGGATGAGCGGAGGCGTCCTTTTCTCCCCTCCCCTCAGGCCCCTCCCAGCTGGGCGCCACCCGGCTTTGCCCAGCATTTGGATGCATGCCACCCCAGGCATACAGAGGCCTCCCCCCATGCACGCCTCAAACACAGCCCAGCGACCGGGCAATGATGTAGCTCCAGGCGCACAAGGCCTGAAGCCCTCAAAAGTGGGGGAGTCCCCTAGCGAGATTTCTGCAGGTTGGTGGATCAGCTGCGCAACTCTGGCCGTGGAGAGACGGAGACTTGCTCCGCAAGCGAAAGACACGCCTTGCTCTTGGAATCGAGGATGTTAGATGCGAGCCTGCTTTGCTCTGTGTCCTTTTAAGCTTATTAGATCCCCCGTTCACATCAGGACGTGCACGTTTCCTTCCCAGTTTAACAAATGTATGCATCTCGTAGGGTAGGCTTGTGAGGCAGCATGTGATGGCTTTCTGCATGCTTCTATTGTTTAAGCAACGGTACTCGTCAACAACAACTCTTTCTTGAGATTCTTGCTTTCTTTCTTTTCCTTTCTTTTCTTTCTTTTCTTTCTTTCTTTCTTTCTTTGTCGTCCTTGGGGTTTGTAGGTTAGAGCCCGACATTTGCAGGCCGGCTCCCCGACATTCCCCGGTCGCAACTCGTTGGGCGCGCTCTCCGAAGGTGTTGGCGCCCTCCGCGGAGTCCATCACCGAGTCGCTGGTGCGCGCGGAAGTGCGGCGCCAGCTCAACGAGAGGCGGGAGACGCGTCCCGGGAGTCCCGGGAGTCCCGGGAGTCCCGGGAGTGCCATTGCCTCCCAGCGAACAGGCGAAGCTGTCGAGAAATCGGATGGGCGTGGGCGCATGATGAAATGGGGACTAGCGTGCTTCAAACGCTTTGCGCTTGTTTAAAGCGTCAGAAGCAGACCCAAGTCATATTTTCAGCATGCGGCTAGCTTGGCCCCGGCCAGGTCCGCAGAAAGTGCCAGCGAGGCAAATGCCACAGCTCCTGCGCTGCGACTCGGCCTGCGCTTACCCTTGGCATCGCTCGGCCTCAGGCATCGTTCATTCGTTGAGCTTTCAGCCGGATGGTGTCGGCACCCAGGCAGGCCGTCGTCGGCCGCGTGGACCTGCTGGAGAAGTCCCTGGAGACGGAAACCAGCAGCCGCCAAGAGGCCCCGATGGCCCCGTATTCATAGTCATTGCAACCATTGCAACCATTGCAACCATTGCAACCATGCTTGAAGGAATGCGGGGGGGTGATGCAAAGAGGGATGCCGGAAGTAGCGCTGAAGCCCGCTGGGTCGCAGATGGCTACTGAAGGTGCACAGTAGAGGGGAGCATTGACATGAGGAGTCGAAGTTTCACATGGAGCAGTCCATACGATCTGATGCGAAGGCCATAGCGGTCGCACGCATCCAGCCCCCGTCAGGAGAGCAGCAAGCTGTTGGCCACCCTCCACGAGCTACCATGCTGCGAGTTTTGTTTTGTTCTTTGTGCGGAGGGGGCGGGGGCGGGGGGGGGGGGATCTTTTGGTGTTCCAAATCAGTTTTGGCGTTTTGCCTTGGAGAATGGCTTGGTGGATCGCGCTCTCAGTTGCGTAGAGCCACTCATTGGTGATGCTTGTTGCTGTGGGGAAACGCTGGTCATGCTGATGCCATCATCCATTCCTTGGATTCTGAGCAAGGATTCAATGGTCGAGGACCCCCATGTTTCTACCGGCACTTGCGCCTAGCAGTCCACAAAGGCAGAGTAGAAGCGGCAAGCATGGGGAACGACCTTTGTGGCTCAGTGTGGCGGTCACACTGGCACATCAAAGGGAGAAGCAGCCTTCAAACCACTCTATACACTGCAGTTTGGCTTTGGCTGGGTTGCTAGAGACAGTTGCAGGCTGAGGCGACACAGCAGCCGAAAGGCTTGGAAAGGTTTGCATGGCATTGAGGCTGGTGGCGGGTGGCCGCCAGCGGCAGGAGGAAGCCTTGCAGACGCTGGAGAGGCGCCTGCAGGCGGGCGGGCAATAGGGAAATGGGCAACCTGGGTGGTTTGCCCATGAAGGCTCCTTTCATTCAGAACTCGCAGACCTTGGTGCCCCGTTCAAGCACCCAATTGCCAACAGGCCACAAGCCGATGCTGCGCAGCAATTCTTGGAGCACTGGGGCATTGCTTGCATGCAAGTAGTATGAGCCCTGCCCTTTTGCAGTCAACACTGCATGTCTTGCCCAGCAATGTGGGTGCGATGATCATAGCTATAGACAGCAGGCAGGACTTGTCATCAACTCCTGCCAGGCACAGCTTGATGCAATCGCCATCGAGGCGCGTTCGTTGCAGATGCATACCGTTTGCTTGGCCTTCTACCAACTAACATGCGCGGGCCACCCTCCGCGCAGTGGCAACTATATGCTGCATGTTCTTACCGATCAGTCTGCTCAACCCGAATTACCCCCATCGAACGCTCGCCCCGTCAGGCCCGCGGCTGCCAGCAGGAGCTGGCAGAGGAGAAGAAGGAGTGGCGACAGGGCCTCCAGCAAGAGACGAAGGAGCGCTTGGTGAGATAAACAAACGCGTTCCCCTGTGCCACTCGCAAAGCATGAGCTGCCGAATCATGCACTTTGCCATGGGTGAAGTTGATTTGTGTTTGGCCGTGCTCTTGGTCGCAGCACGTAGTATGCCGTCCATGCATGTTCAGCAGCATGCTTGAGAAGGCAGTGAGGTCTCAGCTCTCGGATGCCAAATGTTCGCTTGTCAGCCCCCTGGCAGGAACGAGAAGAGACTTGCTTCGCCGTACTGCCACTTGAACTATGCACGGCAATGCAAGCTTTGGGAGGGTGGAAGTCGTTTACACTTTGTACGCATTTGCAGGGACGGGCCCTGCTGACATACCACACTCCTTGCCCGTAAGGAAGTCGTTGGAGGACAAAATTGCATCAGTCCCTTGGCCAAACGTCAGGTGAACGATGCGTATTGCCAATTTTGCCCATCGCTTCAGGCCGCTTTATTATTTTACTCCCGCCCTCCAGTTGTGCAGAGCAAAGGAGCAGAAGAACGTCCAGGAGCAGCTCACTGCCCTGCAGCTCGCTGCGCAAGAAACTTCGCACAGAGCTGACGCTTGGATGAGAGGGTCACCTCAGTGCCGAAGGTGTACGTCCCTCAACTGGTGGAAGGGCACCTTGAAGATTCTTTCCCTCTTGAAGGGTTGGGGGGATTTACCTATGAAGCGCCATGTTGGCGGGAGGGAGGGTAAGTATTGAGCTTGACTCGTCATGCGATTGAGTTGCGCGGGAGAAGGGGGTGGCCAGTTGACGCTGGCATGCAAGGAGAAGCAGATTCAAGGAAGCCTTGCAGAGTCCTCAGAGCGGGAATCAGCGGGCGGAATGGGAGTGCTGCGAGTCAGTCAGTTTTGTGCCGAAGATTGCCGAAGGAATCAAGCGTCGCCAGCTTCGTGGAAAGAAGCTCCAAGGACTCGGAGCATCTCGGTGCATCTCGGTGCATGTGACCACTCAAGGCCCTAAGGCCCTGCCCGAAATTGTCACCTGATGCTTAAGGACTTCAGATACCCAGCATTTCGCCTAGGAATGCATTTGTTCCCCTAGCCAGGCCCACGGACTGGGCGAGGGACCGGAAAGCCGCCAGGAGCTGATGACGACGCGCCAGGATCTCCTGGAGCTCCGGGAGGAGTTGCAGGAGGTGGCCCGCACGGGCAAGGAGAACCTGGAGCTGGCTGTGACGCGGCTGGGCCGCGCCGCCCCGGAGGCCGGGTTGCGGCGGTTGGGAAGTCGGAGCTTTGTTTACGAGAACGGGCTTCATTTGACAAAGACTGCGATGCACGGAATATGCCAGAGTCGTCGTCAGCAACGTATCTTCAACAGCTGATGCTGGCAGAATTATTCAAGCACTTAGCATTGTGCGCCTTGAAAATAGCGGCCTTCCAAATCAGCTGGCTGCATCCGGAGAGCCTCCCAGTCTGCCAAAATTTCCGCCACAGCAACTCGCTGAGCCCATGCCACAAGTGTTACGGGTGTACGCTTCCCTTCAGGAGGCCGCAAGAAACATTTCCTTGTCAACTCTGCGAGGCTCAGGACTCAGGAGTGCGCCCGGGCGTGGAGGACGTGCAGCGGCTTATTGATGGCCAGACGAAGCTGCGGGAGGAGCTGTGGAGCGATGTGGACCGGGTGCGGCCGCTTGGCACGCATCGAAGCAGGTGGAAGTGAAGATGTCATCATCAAGTTTTGAGATAACTTCTTGTGGAGCTGTTGGAGGGAAATCCAACGTGGAAGCCCTTGTTGTTGGTGACGCGTGCGCTTGCCATGAAATTTGCGAGAGCGACTTCACAACATGGTCACTGCGGTCTGTCGCTTTTGAACTTGGCTGAGCTTCCAATCGCTGCAAATCGCAGGTCAAGCCCAGGCTCGCAGCATTTTGAAAGCAAAAACAGTGGTTCCGTGCCTCCAAGCACGCAACTGCATTGTTTTATGCAGCAAATCATGACGCTGCGTTGAAGAGGGTTCAAAGTGCAGAAACATGTTGTCACCTTTCGCGCCACTCATGCCAACTCCGCAACGAACTAGCTGTCTTGCCTCAGTTGACTTGGTCAAAGACGGCCGCAAGCGCGCTTCAAGTGTGGCGGCTTGATGCCTTAGCCACGCCCTTGGCATGTCGCTGGAGGGTTTGCCAGTGGCGTGAGCATGCACAGGACCTTCCACAAGATTCTTCTTGCAAAGTTCTTTTACAGTACTTTCATGTTGCTCTTCGCACTCTTTGGGCCCTGAGACGCCATGCCGGCTTTTCTTCTTTTGGTCTTCCGTGACGCTGTCAACAAGTTGCACTTGAGCAGGCCAGGCACAGGCGCGCCCCTTTGAAAAACCCGCTGGCTACTGGCTCCAGAAAACAAAGCGGGCCTCTCCGTCGGCTTAAGAAATCCCTGGCTAAGGAACGAGCTTCGCCTTGAGGCCACTGCCCGCAAGGAGGACTAGCTTTCAGCATTCAGTAAGTTTCAAACTTAGGGCAGCAAGGCCTTGTAAAGCTGTTATGCCAACCCTGAGGATGTGCAGGGGGTGAGGAGCAGTGTGGACCGGATCCGTGAGCAGATGGTGAGCCATTCATCCTTGGGGTCAGGCGTGTCCATTTCCGCTTCTGACGACGCAGCTCGGCTTGGAATTAAGCTCTTGTGCCTGGCTGGAGCGTTTGCCGCAGGTAGAGAGGCCATTTCTCTATTGTTTTTAGGATTGAATTGGTACCATTGCCCACTCGCCCAGAAATTCCAAGGATGCAGCCCCGCACAGGTGGCGTGGGTATTCCCTATGAGCAATGCGCTGCCCAGCTCTTCCAATATTACACCAGCATAGGTCCCAGATAGCAGAATTTGAAAGTGAAGCGACTCATGTACAAAGCAAACGCAATGAGCATCGGCTTGTTATTGGACAGTTTGTTTCAGCTTTCCTTTTGCCCAAACATCAGTTTTGGTTTTAATACATGCGCGCCGGACAGTGCGATCAGATTTCTGCCTGCAGAGATGTGAAGATTCATGCATACACGCAGAACACACAAACACGTGTGTGTGTGTGTGCGCACCCAAGTGCATACGTGCGGAGTGCACAAGTGTATATACTGTGAACGTGTGTATGCACAATGAACGCATGTTTGCATACACTTTGCACCTGCACAAGAAACAAAGTGCTCTGCCTCGGGACGAAATCCGCGAGAGGCATGGGCTGGATTCTTTTCTGACATGCATGCCCCTTCAATGCTGTACACAGGAATGAGGCCTGTGCCACGCAAAAGCAACCGAAGTGGTCGTCATCATTGGCGCAAACCCCCGGCCCCCCGACAGAAAAAACAGCGGCACTTGCACGCTTCCTGCCCGTTCTGTTGTTCCCTAAAAGTTCCAAAAAACGACGACGGGGTTCGTTGCAGTGTCCGGGCCACGTTCGGCACGCGATGCTCGGAGCGAGGTGTTGGCGGCGCTATCGGCGGAGCGCGTGGCGCGAGAGCAGGGCGACGAGCGATGCCTAGAGGAGATGCGGGACATGGTGCGGGAGGAAAGGCAGAAACGGGAGAAGGACCATGCCGCCCTGGAGCTCAGGATGCAGCCGCCTGGCAAAGGGAAAGGAAGTCCTCTCCTTTTTTTGCATGCTTTGCATTGTGTTTGCGGCAACTATGTAAGCAGAAATGTAGACTGTCAAAAAGACGCTGACAACCGAAGCCATGTATTTGGATTATTTTCTGGATAGCCATGCTATTGCACAGTGGTATGTGACATTTATGCTGCAATGGCTGTTGATGTGAATTAGGTCAGAGGAGCAGACGCTGTTCGTGGAAAGTGGCAAGAGGGAGGCGGGCATTGCTCCATGGCACAGCTGCATCTCTGGCATGGCTGCCGTGCAAAAACTTACACACTTACAGCTGAATCAGTTGAATCTCTCCTGCCTTGGCTCTTCCAACGAAAGTTTTGCGTGGCGGGAATGCTTGCCTGTTTCTTTGCTTGTCGATGCATCAGGCCGTGTGCCTTTCATTTTGCCGACCCATTTTGGTCTCTGGCAAATCGGTGTGGTTTGCACCCGGCGCGTTTTGCGCATGCAAAGCGGTGGTTTGCTGCTTGCAGGAGCGCGACCGTGACATCCTTAGCCAAATCTCCTCCGTCACAGAGGCGGGCGGCGTGTGAGGTTTCGATTCGCTTTTGAAGGAAGACTTGGGCGTTTTTACTGAGTAGATGTGCCGACAGTTTTGTTTGCTTCTTTGTTTATGGCCATGTTTGAACCTCGCAAACTGAACCGAATATACGGCCTCGTGAGGATGTTCCTTTTCCAGCCGCGAGCGCCATTTCGTGCCTTGGAGGACCTGGATGCGGTGAAGCGGCAGATCACCACCGGTCAACAGCGAAAGCAGCTTGAGGAGTTCCATAAGGTGCAGGCACGGGGATCCACACCTTGACCAAAGCTCGAAATGGTGGGTGGATACGTGAGGCTGAGGCCGTGAAACCCCAAACCCTCAAAAGCAACGACATCCATGTGTTCATTGTCTAGCCTCTTGAGCAGGATGGCCTGAAGCAAAGAGTGGCACACTTGGAGGCGCGCGAGAGCCACTATCGTTGTTGCCACATGGCCAAAAAGCTTGTCATCATGACCAAGAATCCCCTCAGAGGCACTCTCTAACAAAACATAAAGCTCTGGGCTATTCCGGACTTGCATGAGCCGCACATGAAAGGCTGCCGTTCCTTTTGCCCTGGCCAAGCGGCTGGTCTTGAATCGCATGCAACCTGTGGGGTCCAGGCCCACACGGCCCAGACGCCAGTGCAGCACCTGCGCCCCACCAGTATGGGAGGCGCGCTTGTCAGGAGCAAAGCTGACCCAAACGAGCGCATGCGTTTGATGACCCCGGAGTGCAGAGAGTTCGAGACCGTACCGGGTTTTGCAACCTGAGGGGATCCGACCAAACCTGCTTTGCAGCAATCTCTAGGCAGCGGGTTGAGCACACCAAGCTCGCGGCCAACCAGCGTGGGGCAGATGCAGTGGCCCATGAACTGCAGGCCTGGCAGAGATTACATGGCGAGGTGAGATCCGACGATTAGAGTGACTTTTCTGAGTGACCCATGTGATCTATGTGGCAAGCTGCACACCGCAAAGTTCAAAGCCAGCACTTGCCTCCTAAGCGTCTCCTGCATCCTGTGCAGGGTGGGCCACCCATGATCAATTGGAGGCTGGCCGGGAGTCCAGTAGGAGGTTGCCCTATGTTGGCCACTGTGCCAGGCAACATGTAGGTCACACGCAGATGCACGCGCATAAGAATGAAACCAATGGAAATAAGCAGCGGGCACTCAGGGACAGAGCAGGCACCAAGCATAGCAATAGACCACTCACTCCTGGTGAAAGAAGTTTGTTTTTGTTGATGGGGCTTTGATTTGCTCAGGCAAACCACTTTTTATTTGGTGTGTGTGTGTGTGCGAGCTACCCGGGGCATGGACACCGGAACACGTTTTGGCCAAGCCGTCCAGCGTTGTCAGGCCAGTGCACCGGCAAAAGGACGGACACATGAATGAATCCCAGATGCCGACTTGGGCTGGGCCTCTCACAGCCTCACAGGTTTGGTTTGTGGCAAGGTAAGCTAAAAGGCAACTGCAGTGTTGAGGCCCTGCCTTTTCCACTCGCGGCCACACTGGGCACCCACAGATGCCTAAACCCGGGCATCTGTGGGATAGCAGAAACGCAGCCCCTCATGCTTCTGGAAAGCAAGAAGGACTGCCAATCCTGACATGGCAGGTGTTTTGCTTTTGCCCGTTTTGACCTTTTTTGGCTCCTGCCAAACACTGCATGTGATGTCCGGGCGCCGGAGCATGCCACTCTCGGATCCCGCAGTTTGGAGGGACAGCTGTCCCTTGGTCTAGTTTAGTTGCAGGGTGTGACGTGCTGAGCCAGAGGACTGCTCAGCCTGAAGCCAAAGCAAGAACTTGCGCTTGAAAGTATTTGTCCATGTGGCCAGACATGCGTCGTCCCTGTGGAGTTGCCAACGGCTTTTTCACTTCTGATGGTCAGTGCCAAAGGAGCGACAAAAGAGAGAGTGCAGATTCTGTAGTTTGCCGAGGGCTCAAGCCAGGCCTATGGCGGCGCATTCATATACTGTTTGATACTACGAGGCATGCTTGAGAAGCTCGTCTCCAGGAGTCGCTAAGAAGTGAGACGGGCCGGCTCCACGAATGGCGAGGCTGGAGCGTGGCAGGCTTGATGGTTCGTACAAAGCCACTCTGCCAGGCTGCTGGCATAAAGTGTGGCTTACAATGAGTTTTCCTAGGCTAGATTGCCTTGGCCTCAGCACAGCGGTTTGCATCTCTTCCCTTGGGGCGAGTCCCTCGTGACCGAGGTCATGATCCGCGGGCCAACTTTCTGAGCCTTAAACTGCTGCTTCGAAGGGGGAAGCCAAGCAACAATTCGCGGCGTGCGCAGAAGGGAAAAAGAGGACGATTTGTTTTTAGAGGTGAAAAGCATGCCTGACAAACCTTGGAAGGCTTGTTTGTGCCGAGGTTGTGGGCTTGCCTGCAGCTGGGCTGCATTTCTTCAGACAGTTGGTGAATATGGAGGGGCTTCTCATGACCCTGTCATTACTTGGCCGTCGCAAGCCGCAAGATGAAAGCTGCTGTGGCTATTTGTCAAGCCAAGGTCAACCAGACACCCAACTACATGACACCGCAGGGCAAGGCAAGGATGTTGCTAGGTCGGCTTGAGGCTAGAAGCGCTGGGCATGGCATGGCGTAGAGCGTTTTTTGTTTCCTTGTTTGGAGCTATCGTGCCATTCTTCCGTCTTCAAGCATCGCTAAAACGATAGTGGTTCGTCAAAGGGCCGAGGGGAGCAGGTGCGTGCAAGTCGTCGCAGTGGCACGCCATAACGAAGGGCATTCCACGCCCGAGTTAACGAGGGAAGCACTTGTTCAGCGGCCAGGTGGTGTCGCAGCAGCCGGTGACTGCACCGTGAGGCAGGGCAAGCGCTCCGAATGTCCGAATCAACTGGGCTGGAAAGCTTCGATTTGGACAAGGGAGCGAGCGTATACACAGCGCGGTAGGATGGAATGTCACGGAGGGGAGCGGAAAGAACAGAAAGGCTTGAAGCAGCTGCAATGAAGGGACCCAGAAAGGCAAGAATGTGAATAACAGCTGTGAGACGCTGCGAAGAATTGGTTCCTCCGATGGTTTTTTGAGCGTGGCTAGCTCGCTGAGAACCAACATCCGCTGAGTGGATCTTGCGGATGGGATTGCATACCGAACGTTGCTCAGACCAGGAGCATGCGACAATTTAGGCTGTACACATTGACATGTCTCCCGAGAGATGTGTGCCGTTCTGAGAGTTGCTACGATTCATGTGGGTTTGCAACCATGTTCATCATACTGTCGTCCAGGTGAACGTTGCCTTTGGTTTTAGTGGTGGTTTTCTATAGGAAGCGTTCAAGTGCCGCAGCACCTCAGGGTGCCACGTCCTGCAAGGAGCTGGAGATGGGTCAGGCTCAGGATGGTGCTGAGGGCCCGCGCTGCTTCCAGCAGTTAAACAAAACAACCCCACGGGTTTACTAATTGCAAGGGATTTCAAAGGTTTTATTGGTTTGCCCCTGACTAGATCCTTCAGCAAGGGCAGCCAGAACTTAGCTATGTGTGCGCCGCTGCGTTTGGCAACGGTTGGCAACGCTTGGCCGGTCTTGCCCATTGATGAGGCGAGAGGGCTTGTAACGCGCCCACCTTCCAGAGGGCCGTGTATTTGCCGTGACCAACAGCGTCACATTGAGAACGTAGGGGGTTCAAGACCCCCTTGCTTCCTTAATATTCAGTGCTGTACACCCTAGCATGAGTGAAAAATGAGGGCACCTGCGAACAAGTGCCAGCAACATAGGTGCATGCAAAGGCCCACCTGCAGCTTGTCTTGGCCCAGATTGCCAGAAGATCTGGGAATGTAGGTGGGTACTGTGCACTTCGCATTTTTCCTCCGGACACTCCCACGATGGCAAAGGCCTTCCAAGCTATACAAGCAGAGCACCAAACCACATAACACGCACACACACACACACACAGACACACAGCACCAACTGGCACCGCGAATGGCCTCTTCAATGCGCCGCACATGGCTCCATGTCCTTTGTGCCTTCTCGCTGGGCCCTGCTTTTACGCAGCCCTTGCTGAAGTGGCTGCAAGAGAGGGGTGGCGAAAGTGCAGTGGAAGGCGTGCAATGCGGTTCGTTTCTGGGGCTGTGGCCTGGTTAGGATACGCTTCACGCATTTCGCACCCTTGCAAATGCTTTTATGCCGCCCTCTATTCAAGTTCCCCGAGCAGTTCACGATTGGAATAGAAGCATGCTTGGTACAGGCAACAATTTGACCTTGGGGAGTTTCTCTGTTCGCATGGAACATGAAACAAGGCAGTTAGTTCCTCGAGACTAAATGATTCAATCAAAGAAGCAGTCACCTCGCAGAAAGCTAGAATCAAGGTTCCAGATCTCATTCAATCCGCCCTGCTGTACCTTGTTGCAAGGATTGGCAAGAAGTGAGTTGCAATTTACAACACCTCCCAATCACATCCCCTTTATGGCTTCTTGGTTGGATCTTTGCAATTTATCTCAGTGGCTTGTCCATCGGACCCGCAAAAAGTGAAAGCTTTTGCTGAGGGGTCAACGGCAATCAAGAGAAGTAGAATGCAAACGGGTCACATCATGTCGCATTTAGCGGTCAGTATATATATATATATATGATTATATATGTATATCTCAAGCTCGGCATTTGCCCCTTGCCCGCCATGCTTTTTGTTTGCAGGCAGAGTTTCTGGCCTTTTGCGGGGTCTGGCGGTCACAAAGCCCGTCAAGGAGGGGGAGATCATATTGAAGGCTCGCTGAGAAAAACCAAAAGCACACCGACCATAGCATCATTTGTCATGCTTTGACTTACAAAGGACTGCGTATGGACGGCCTGGGCAGTTTTTGGGTCTTGCAGGTGCCGTTAGGCTGCACGCTGGCGGATGGGTGCGCAGGACTGCTGCGTAACAGGGCCCCCTTGCTTAGCCCAGTGGCCCAGTGGCCCAGCATGCAATGATTGTCATTTTTGTGGGCGTCGGATTCACTTTCTTTGGCCTGGCCGCCGAACACAGCGCCTGGAGGAGGGCAAGAGGACCCAGCAGCAGGGCCGGCGTGGGCAAAAGACTTGCTGGGAGCCAAGGAGAACAACATGAAGGTAGACGGCGAGCGGGGTGTGATAAAATCCTGGCATCTGTGTGCCTCAAGCCAGGGAACCACAATCAAGCAGCTCCGTTTGGAATCCGGAGGTGTGTTTTTGCACCAAGGCCATGGAATGTTCAGCTGGCATTGGGCGTGCTGTCACACCGTGACGATCCAGAGTGGCGTCCATTCTTAGGCACTTTGCGCCGGAAACCCGCAAGATGGGCATACGGCGTGCACACACCATGTTAGTAAAACAAATTCCCCAACGTGTGCAGACTTGTTCCATTTGCAATTGCCAGCTGAACACAGCACCATTGGTTTCAAGCACTGCGCATGTTTGACGGAACATATGCATTTGATTGCTGCACTTGCAGACACCTGGGGAGATGCACCTCTGCTGCCCAAAGACCTGGACGAGGAGGAAGGGCCACTCTCAGGCTTGAGACGTCTGTGTTTCCCAATGTTGGCCAGAACTTGCAAGAAGCTGTTTTTCGAGAGTGCTTCTTTCTGAGTCGGCGAGACGGAAATGTGACAGCTACCAGGATGGGCTACAATTTGCTTGCTTGTTTTTTGTCTCGCTTAGTCAGTCCTTGCGATGTGTTTGCAGGATCTGGAGGAAGCACAGGATGACGACTTTGAGATGAAGGCTCCAGCCTTAGTGTGGGAGTAGAAGCGCTGGCTGCAATGCTCGGTCCTTTGTGTGCATCTGGCATGCGCCAAGGCAGGAGGCACTTTTTTCTGGCTCGAGGAGAAGTACGAGGCAGAGTGACAAAAGGGGTAGGAGGGGTGAGAGCATACAGTGTTACAGCGACAGTGATTTTGCTTGTCCCCCCTCTTTGCGTGTGGAAGACAAGCTCCAGTCGTGGCAATGGCACACGCTCAGTTTGTTCATTCGTACGGAATGTAGCCATCCGCTGCAACAGTGCCGTCTTGCCCAGGATGCCCGCGAAGCCTTTGAGAATGCAACTCCAGAGCCGTTTCCATGGAGCGAAGAGGAGCGGGG